CCCTTCCCTTCCCTTCCCTTCCCTTCCCTTCCCTTCCCTTTCTTCTTTCCTTCCTTCCTTTTTTATTTCTTTCTGTCCTTTTTTTCACATAAGTAGGCTTTTCCCTGAAAATTTACCATGCTTCTTGTCCCAGATACTCACAGGTGGTAAGGAATCTTAAATGACCATACACTGATTTTTTCCCTCTTTTTACCTAACAAATTCATCTTTCAGAAAGAAAGATATTTGACATAAATGATGCCCATCCCTTTCCCCATGGGGGAAAAACAACTACCCATCAGTTTTTAGGGCCAGGTTGGGTCCTAACCACAGGCTAGTTGGCAGGAAACCTTATCCAAGCAGACCCTCATCCTGTCCCTGAGAATATATTAAGCATAGATGTGCTAACTAATGTGTTGGCATGAAGGTACAATCTGGCATTAAAAAGGTTTGAAAGGTTTTTTTTCTGCCCCTATGACCTAATCACCCTTTCTTTGTGTAACATAGAAATGTAAAAATCTGAATTAGGATTTAGAATGAAAGATAATTTAGAATTTAAGAGAATTCAAACAGATATTAAGTCAGCTTTGATACCATCCTACAAAGAAATTATTTGCTATGAAAATTAATAGCATGAGGGAAAAAATGGGGGATTGTAAAAGCAATGTTTCTCCACTTAAAAGAACAGCTTTAGAGCACATTTGAATCCCTCATTTACTGACAATTGATATGCTAATTTCAAATACATTTTTATCTTTTTCCCTAAGGAGCCACTGGATTCTTACACGTACTAGAAAGTAATATGCTCACATTATATTAAAAAAAATTCAAATCTTTTGTTAATTCCTAATAGTCTTCTTCCAAGTGATATAGAATAGTGAGGTTTGTTTGGATGGACCATGAGATTATATGAATGAATTTCTGTTCTCAAGGAATTTATTTATATTTTATTACCAGTGGATCATCAGTGGATGTTCTCCCATCAATATATTTCATAACTTACCCATAATTTCTCATTGTGGATGACTCTTGTTCGTGTTCTGCTATAAGTCTTCTTCAGAGGATCTCTTAACTATTTTCTCTAGGTGTCTTTATATTTAATGGATAACAATGAAGAATTCTAATCATTATCTTTTGATCTAGCTACTCTTGAGGAATACATTCTCTCAATAATATCCATTTTACCAATTCTGTATCTATGTGCCATCAATGGGAAGATGCTGCATCTAGTTTGCACATACCATGAACCCCTGCATTGCCCTTTGGATTACCTACACCTTTGATTCTTCAAACACTGGAGTATTCTAAGATGCATAGCTATATGGCATCAGTGGGAGAACAAGATTGATACCAGGTGAGCAATCAATCAACAAGTATTTATTAAGCACCAACTGTGTACCAGCCACTGTTCAAGACAAAAATGAAACAGCCCCTGTTCTCAAGGAGCTTATAGTCTATGTGATAGTTTAGGGGAGGAGCTGAGGAGGTGATGAATACTTCGTCCCTTACAACTCAGTAAACAAGAAGTTTATAACTTACTTCAATTTTAAGAACCTCTCATGTACCCAACCCTCCTGAAAGTTTGACAAATACCAAATGGGTTCCATTAGTAAATCTAGGTAATTCTTCACCAGCTTTGCCATGGAACAGACTAAAAATCAATGGTATTTACCAAGCAGGAAGGGGAATACTGCTGTCAGATCATTATTTCTCCACTCTGTGTGTTCACCCTATGTGTGTATGTTAGGGGAGTTTCAACTCTATAATACTCATTGTCTGCATCAAGTGGGGAGAGGAAATATACATTTGGGTGACCTTCAGAGAACCCAAGAGTTGGGGAAATTTTCTAAAATGACTGACACCAAACTATTTGCTTCAGAATTTAAATCTGACCTTTGGCTACTGTTGGATGAATTTTATATCTATTATAGTTGGTATGCCTTCTTGGATTATGGGGTAGACAATGAGGGGTGTTGATTGTAGGATTATTCTATTTCATGTGCCTATAGAATCTTAAACATGTGCACATGGACACGTGGATGTATCCTCTTATTGACTTCCTTAGCACCAAACCAATGCTTTACTTGGTGTGATAGGCAATGTACAGAGATAATACACCACACAATAGGGCATGATAGCAGTAAAGGAAGAATCCAGACAGGAATCTCTCAGGAATTTTGAGGACAGAGGAAACACTTTCTACCTAGAGAATGAGAAAAGGCTCCATAAAGAAGGTGGCATCTAGGACTCAACCTTGAAGGAAAATTTAATTCTGTCCCATTCTATTCAATTCAATTGAACACATCTGTATTATGTGCCTACTATATACAAGGTAACGGGCTAGGTTCTAGGAATCTGAAGTTAAGTATTCTAGATAATGGTTCTGAAAGTGAAGCAGGACTGCATTCCCAGCATGGAGACTTCTGAGAAAGTAAATGAGGGCACTAGGTTATCTAGGGAACTTTCTTTTTTTTAAAGTCAGCTAGATAATGTGGAGGATGGTTAGCATCTAAAAACAAAGATTACAAGTATGGCACTTAGATTAGCTATTCACAGGTCTCTGTCTCCAGCCCTCCAGTGGACTCATATTTGGACAGAAGTCTGGGCCTTTGGTCTGTGCTTGGCTCACAAACCTTAGTCATGTTCCTTATGAGATTGAGACCTTGAATTGCCTCAGTGGGAAGCAACTGGGACCATGGCTTAGAACCTTGATTTTATCCTTTCCCTTGCTTTCCTACTCTGTCTAGAAAGATAATTCCCTCTTGATGCTAGAAGTCTTACCATCTGCTATAAAAAGGTGATGGAAATTGACCTCAGCATTTAGATGTCTGCTTGCCACTGGCTGGTTTGGGAATGGGGATGATTGAGGTTTTGCAAGCAGTAGAGAGTGAAAAGCAGAGATGGTCATCTCGAAATCAGTTATTCCCCAGAACTCTTTTTTTTTTCTTGGCATTAACACAAATGCTCTCCTCTCCCTCCCTTTCATCCCAGTCTAGAGCAAAAAGCGATAAAGGGCAAACATATGTGAGAAAGAGAGAAAGACAAATCATGCCCGTCTCAGCAGCTTTGAAGAGTATAATCCTGGAGAGAGATTAATCAGGGGATGTGGCCTCAGATCTTAACCTCAGCCACTGGGTCCAAAGGCCTGCAAGATATACAAGAACCCAGAGTGGTCCAGGGATTAACACGGAATTCTCTGGCAGAATAAAACTAGGGTTGAGTCAGAGATGCAAAGAGGAGTGAGGAGAGTCAGAGCTAGCTGCAAAGACTGGGGGCCAAGCCATCAAAACAGCATGAAAGTACCACTCTGATGGGCAAAGAATGAGAGGGCAGAGTAAAGCTGAAATTAGACATTCTGTTTGGAATTAAAACATCTCCAGGAAACTGTCTCCTTCTCCTTCGCTTCCTGATAACAAGAAGGAGGCTTGGGAGCAATCTCCACAGTGCCAATTTGCTCTGTAATTATACATAGTCCATTCTACAAGGGCATTTTCTTTGACTGAAAGCTGTGCCTTCTTTGCCATCATTCTGTGTTCTCCAACAGTGGGGTTAATGGCAGCAGCCCAGGCAGATGAAAACCCTGACGTCAAAAACCCTCCACAAAGCTCCTCATTTTAAGCTGGGGAGCATTTGCTTTTTATAATGTTTTGGTCAATTGTTTCCAATTCTCCTGCCTGTGCCTGTGGAAGCCTCCTCCCTTCTGTGCATCCCGAAAATGCCGGCTCTGCTGATGACAAAGCTTTCAGGGCGATACGCCCAGCTGGTCCATTTCATTTCAATTCTGCCCATCTCCTCTTAGGGCAACCACTTCTCTGTTAGATCCATAGGAGACCTGGACATTTTGTAGAACCATAAAATGGGAAACTTAGTTGGTGCCAGGTTGGTTCCTACCAATGTGGCAACCCCCACACCATGAAAGTTTAGGTTTGGTTACACCAGAACATGGTGTATGTCTGAGCCACTTTCTGAGACGTGTTTTCAATCTGCTCACTAATGAAACCTGCCAGAATTCATCAATCCAAATGCAAAGTCCTCTTCTACCTCTCTCTCTACCTCCTGCCCAGCCACCCATCCTATACTAGCAGATTTGCTTTCTTTGACCTGATCCTGGGTGACTCCTCCTGTTCATTCTACTCAAACCCTTCTGGACTGACCTATCAGTTTATGAGATATAAATTTCTTAGACTCTGAGTTTTACACCCGTCTATGAACCTGATTTTCACATTTCCCCTTAGCCTTGCTCTTCATCTCTCTCCTTTTTTCTTGTTATCCCCCCTCCCATTTTCTCACCACCTTTTTTTTCCCCCGTCCCTCCTCCAGGGAGTCTCCCTCCTTTCTTAGTTCAGAACTGGGTTTGTTCACTGAGGGCAAATCAGATGAAAGTCTGGCAGGTAGCCTATGGTGAGCAAACTCAACACACCAGCACCAGCACCCTACTTCAGGGAGCTATCAGACCTAGGCTGAACGCTGGGGTAGAGAGTTGAACAGCAGGTACAAAGGGCCATCATGCTATTTCAGTACATCCACAGACTAGCATATGGGTTTTTTGTCAAATAGCACAGGGCTCAGTTGTTACTGAGTTGACTATAAAACACTTAGCAAGCTCTGGTCTTCCTATCACTTGCTCTCCACTCTCTCTCCATGTCCTTCCATAGCCACCCATGAAAGCTTTCTTCTCCCCTCATCTCCCCACCCCCTTAGCCAAGACATTCTGAACGGAGGGGGAGGAAAAGTTTCTCTGAGCCGTGCAAGAGATTTCTTTCTTGGACTTTCACGACATCATTCGTCGGCCCAGAGACTTCGAAGTGGTATTATCATTGAGAACATGGTAACGCTAGAATAATTTCTCCGAAGGGTTACCTGTGCCTTTCCAGGGAGCTCCAGGCTCCTCTAACCAATTAACTCCGGTGTTCCTCTGGGAGAAACAGAGAACTGCTTCCCTAGGAGAAGGGAGCATCAGCCTACATCTCTCCCCAGCCCCTACCCTGGTCTCGGAGCCACCGCGCCCGCGTGAGCATTACCTTGGGAGAGGTTTGCGGGCGGTGATACTAGCGACGATGATGCTCTCGGGCCGGGGGGTGGCCACGGCTTTGAAGGTCCCTTGCCAGAACTTCTCAAAGAGCTGTTTTTCACCCTGCTGCACGCTCGCCATGGTCCCGCCCAGAGGCCCCCGGAGCCTCGGGCGCTGTCCGAAGTGCTGAAATGTACGTTCCCAATGGGGGCGCTCCGGGGAGGCTCCGCTGCCCAGAAGCCACGGTCCTCCGGGGCGCCTCGCTCAGTCTCTGATATATCCAGGGGAAGAAAGAAAGATTGGTGTGTGTGTGTGTGTGTGTGTGTGTGTGTGTGTGTGTGTGTGTGTGTGTGTGTGTAGCAGCTTCAGCTTCCCAGGGAGCCGAGGAAGAGGTAGAGAGAGGACTGTCTGTCTTTCTAGTTGGGCTCTCCTCTTTTCCACCTTCTCCTTTCCTGGCTCTTTCCTCTCCCCTCAGGCGAGGACGGAAAGGCTGTGGCTTTCAGGGGGCAGAGACAAGAGCACCGGCTCTGGGGCCGTCTGTGTGTGCGTGCCGTGTGTGCGAGCGCCGCTTCTGTTTTGTCTCCGGCAAGATGTGACGTGGGAAGAAGGGGCTGGTCGTACCGGAGCCACCTTCCCCCTCCCTCCTAGTCTCTTGTCCCCGCCCTCCCCCCCTTTCCCTGTCAGCCCTCGCAGCCTCCCGCCTCCATCTGCATAACAAAAGCCCGCAGGTCGGGGGAGGGGAACAGGGGCGGGGCGGGCGCCAGTCACCAGGGCTAGCGGTGAAGTGAAAGTCCTGACCCCAAATAACCTCAGTCGAGTTTTGGGGGTCACAGGGCCCCGTGCAGTTTCCCAAGCAGACCTCTGATCCTGGTCCCGTGCTTTCCCTTGGTCCCCACCCCCACTTCCCTCGGCCTCTCCTTCCTACCCCCCTCCCTACTCCCTCCACTGGCCAGAGCTACTCTCTCCCTCCCCCCACCCTACTCAGAAGTCATATTGTTTCTACTCCATTCTAATTTTTTCCGGGGTGGGGGAGGCAGAGGGGGAGGAACCTTGGCCAGCTCCAAGCTCCTAATCCGAACCTAGGTCTGTGTAGAACCCTGGGGCCTGGAGAGGGCTGCCCACTTCTCCTGAGCTCAAGATTTCCCCTAGCCTGGGAGAGGCGCTTTTATGGGCGCTACTTCTCAAACTCCGTTCCTCGCCATCTGCTGCATCTCGGGCTCCTGCCTGCAGAGAGACTCAGAGTTACATCTGTCCAGTAGGCGCTGCAAGTTATTTAAATGGACGCATATCTCCTTCATGCAACGCAGTCGGCAGCTGGTGCTAGCCTCTCTCCCCCAACCCGGCCCCCTCCTCCTACGAAGGGGAGAAGTTGCTTTCTCCTTCTTTCCAGGAAGATTTGAATTCAGGAATTCACACAAATCAGTCTTTGGAAAGGCTGCATTTTTTTCTTTTTTTTGAGAGAGGGAGAAGAAGCTTTTCTGTCTTCCCTCTCCTCCCATCACCTCCTGTTCCATAGGATTCCCCCTTCAGCCAAGTAGAGATTTGAATGGCAGGTGGGAACTCAGCACTCAGCAGGACAATAAATCGCTTGAATCAGGTGCAGAAATTCTCCTCTGGTGTCTTTCCCCACCAGAAAGGACTATTTCAAGAATCCCCTGGGACACCACTTCCTACTAGGAACTCCTGTGGCATTTATTATATGTCCTTGTCATTTGACATTTAGCACAGGCTGTCTAGTAATGTTCATGATCTCTATGTAATACAGCCCACTTCCCCAACTAAAGTGTGAGCTCCCTGAGGACAGGATCTGTTACATTTTCCTTTGTAGCCTTTGTATTTGGCACAATGTCTAGCACTGAGAAAGCATCTACTACAAATTTGTTGATAGATATATTGTACAGCTTTGTAACTTCAAACCCTAGTTTGTTATATCATCCATAGTAGCAAACCACTAAGGCTTTATTGACAGTGATGTTGAAAATGTGAGAACTTTTTTTTTTTGGAAGGGGAATTCTTTTGGAATTGTGTATACATGTGTAAATCTGAGAACGTGTGTATGCCTATACTGTGATGAGTAAAATATTACATAAATGACCCTTATTATCATTGGAGCACAGATTTAGAGCAGAAAGGGCTAATAGAACATAGAATGTGAGAGCTGGAAGTGTGCCTTGGAACAAAGAATATATAGAATGTCAGAGCTAGGAGGGGCCTTAAAACAGAGGATGCCAGAGCTGAGAAGGGCCTTAGAAAATTGAGTGTTTGAGTAAGAAGGGGCTAGAGCACATAGGACTGGGAGGACCCTTAGAACAAAGAATGTCAGAGCTGGAAAAGGCTTTAGAAAGGAGAGTGTCAGAGCTGGGAGGGCCCTCAGAACAAAGCATGTCCGAGCCAGAAGCATCAGACAAGAGAATGTCAGAGCCGGGAGGGGCCTTAGAAAAGGCAATTAACAGCTGTAGGAGGGAATTTGAGGCTTCAATCTCCTTCTTTTACTGAAGAGGAAACAAACCCAGAGAGTGGGGAAAACACTTGCCCAAGGTCACACAGCTACTAAGTTGAAGAGTACAGATTTGGCCCCAGGTCTTCTCGACTCTCCATCTGGGGCCTCTTCCACTACATCATTATTCCACGGGAGCATTTGAACATGTACATGTGTGTATGTATGTGAATGTGTCTGTGAATGTGACTTGTAAGAAAGGGCGTATGCGCGCGTCTCTGTGTGTTTATAAATGAGCCTACTTGAGTCTATCTGCGCGTAGAAGGATGTAGGTGCTTCCTGTAGCCCGCGGTGCAGTTCTGGGACTCCGCAAGGGAAGTAGTCTGCATGTCAGACCAGCAGGGAGGTTCCAGCTCAGGGACTGAGCTGCAGCCTCCTGGTCGGAGGCTCAGCTCCGCCGCTTTCCAAGCCCCCGAGGGCGACAGAGGCTCTTCTCGCTCTGGAGAGACACCTTCTGGCACATGCGGAGAGCTGCACCTGGTTCCTTTCTCCTTCTCCCTGGCTGAGGCTATGGAAGCACCAGACTGTTTCCTCCGAGGGTGAGGGGTCCAGGTAGGCCCTGGATCTGCTCTGGAGGGCTCCCCCCTTCCTTCCTACCCAACCCCTCTAAAGATGGTGTCATTTTCAATCCACCAGGGAGCCGCTGCCTAGAGCTCTGTCACGTACCCTGGGACATTTTAAGTCACAATTAGTCTTGATAAATAGGGTTGGAACTGAGTCACTGGCAGAGGAAGTAGCAGGAAGGACAAGTATTAAGGGGGAAGGAAATCAACACTGATGCTCTCCAGGGATGGAGGTTCTGGGAGTAGCAGTAACAATAGCAAGTATTTCTGTATCGCTTGGAAGTTTCAAAGCACATTACAAAAACCATCTAATTTGATCCTCACAACACTACTGGAAAGAAAATGTTATTATTACCCCCATTTTGCCGATGAAGAAAATGAAGTAGAGGTTAAGCGATTTGCCCGGGCATCACACAGCTGTGAGGGTCTGAAGCCCAAGGTAAACTCAAATCTTGCCTCAGGGTCCAGAGATCTATCCATTCTTCCGGGGAGGCTGGATAGGAAAGTGCCCCAGGCATCAAGCTGGAAGACTGGAGAGACCCAGATCTGCCACTAAGTTTCTGGACAGCCTGGCAAGTCATTTTCACTTTTTTTTGAGCCTCAGTTTACCCATCTGTTAAATGGAGAAGTTGAAGTGGGTGATAACTACAGTCTCTTTTAGCCCCAAGTCCAAGATAAAGTGCTAATACTAGTTCACTTTTGTTCTGTAGTGTATGGATTAGAAAGGGCCTTTACATTCGACCCTTACAATGACACTGAGTGGAATAGGTGCTAATATTCTTCTCATTTTATTCAGGAGGGACATGAAAGCACTGGAGGGTAAGGCACATGTCCGGATCTAGCAGTCTATGCAGTACTTCACATTGCTTCTTATGGTAATACTTTTGCAGTAATGGATCTGCGATCTCACGACATTACTCCCTTCCCCTCACCATAGCACAGGCCAGACTGTACATAATGCTGCTCCTCATACATGCCACTGGAAATGGCCCATGCATGGGATGCACTACCCCCTCACCTCTGCTTCAAAAAATCCCTCACCTCCTTGAGACTCGTCTAGATCAATCAGTCTTCTACCTGATATTTTTTCTCAACCCTCCCCCCACAAGGTCACACAGCTACTAAGTTGAAGAGTACAGATTTGGCCCCAGGTCTTCTCGACTCTCCATCACATTCACAGACACATTCACATACGTACACACACGTACATGTTCAAATTCTCCCGTGGAATAATGATGTAGTGGAAGAGGCCCCAGATGGAGAGTCGAGAAGACCTGGGGCCAAATCTGTACTCTTCAACTTAGTAGCTGTGTGACCTTGGGGGGGGAGGGTTGAGAAAAAATATCAGGTAGAAGACTGATTGATCTAGAGGATATCTCTCAATAATAATATTAATAACAATAACAACCATAAACACTCACATAGCGATTTAATGTTTGCAAAGCTCTTTAAGTAAATTGTCTCACATGATTGTTGCTGTTCAGTCTTCTCCGACTCTCTGTGGCCCCATTTGGAGTTTTCTTGGCAAAGATACTGTAGTGGTTTGCCCTTTCCTTTTCCAGCTCATTTTACAAATGAGGAAACAGAGGCAAACAGGTTTAAATGACTTGCCCAATGTCACCCAACTAGTAAATGTCTGAAGCCAGATTTGAAGTCAGGAAGAGGAGTTTCCCTGACTCCAGGATTGGCACTCTATCCTCTGTGCCACCTAGTCTCACGTGATTACCTTGTGTTTATTTTGAGCCTCTCGGCTTCTTCATGTGCACACAGTCCCAGTCTCTCTGCCCTGTATAGGAATATGTTGTCTCCCCAGATAGAACATAAAGATCCTGAAGAGCGTGGAGTGTTTCTTTCTTCTTTTTGTCTTTGTTAACCCTGATGTCTACCTGTTGTAGTGCCTGGTACATAATAGGTACTTAATACATGCTTCTTGATTGACCTCATGGAGATGAGTATTACCTGAAATGATGCACATTGTGACCAACACACGAACTCTGATACCATCTAGTCCAATCCCATCACTTCATACATGAGACAAGAAGGCCCAGAGAAGTTAGGGGGATTGCTCAGGGTCACACAGGGAATAGCATCACCGGTAACATCTGAACTCAGATCCCCTGACAACAGGGCCAATGTCTTTTTCCACTATAGCATACCTCTTCCCATATCTGAATCAAAAGTTCAAATGAATCTGTTATCTCATCAATTTGGAAGTCTTCTCCAATGACTTGCATTGCAACTCACCCATTTTTTCTCTCCTGTAAATCTTCCTGTGATATCTCCCTAACTTCAAAAATTTTCCGCTATGTGTGTGTGTCAAAGTTAGGCTTGATTCCTTAAAAGATACAATAGGTAGAACTTTTTCCACCCGATGGAGGTGATTATCCATATCCATGTCAAGCACGAAGCTGAGAGATGTGTGTTCATCAGAGTTATTGGATGCCTTCATGGAAGCTATCCAATGCAGAATCCAAATGGGAGAGGAAACTTCTCTACTT